GTGTCACTGGAACTACATTTCACTAATAACCTTGGGTAAGTTGTAAACAAACTTTCTTTTAAATATTTGTTCTGCGAAAACTTAAAAATAAAATGATATATATTTTATACGCACACCCCTTTGAAATTGAAGGGGCTTTGACGAAGATCGGCGTACGCCATTAAGTGTCAGGATTTGTCTTAGCAAATTCCGCCCCCTTCAACAATCTTTCTGTAATGCACTAGGGTCATATGTGGCATATACGGAGTAACCTATGCCCCATCTCGTGCCACTCGGAATACGTGTCAAATAAACTCTGTTTTACAACTTTTAACCATTCGTTCTGGGAAAACTTAAAAATAAAATTATATATATTTTATACGTACACCCCTTTAAAATGAAAGGGGATTTAACGAAGAAGGTCGTACGTCGTTCAGTGTGGCTGTGTTTCCGCCTACTCTTCATCGTATTCCATCTTTCCCGGCCAGCGCCGCGACCTCCTGGTTAGTAAGCACCCTACTCACTGATCAACCGTGGCTCCCAAAATACACCCTGATTAAACATTCACAGCCACTTAATTATAGTACCGTAAGTGTAGTAAAGACGAATGAGTTGATAATGATCGTAATCATGTGATGTGGAATGTACCAACGTAACACGCATTCCCATTGGCAGATGTCTCAAAATAAGTCAGCATACTCTGCCATTCAAATAGGAATATTTCCTTGTAAACCGTAATAGCTTATATCTAAATTTAGCATGCAGTGCGAGAGTAGGGGTTCTAATGGTAATGCAATCTTTGACATGAATGATTGTTGCCACTGCCCTATTTGTGGTGTAAAATACGACTCGGTTCAATATTGTGGTGTAAAATACGACTCGGTTCAATATTGTTATTTTCTGAATCCACCATTATCCCTCGGTGTTAAAAGAACGTCTTCGATTTGATTTTTCAAATACAATATATTCTGAAGTGGACTGATTAGTAATTAATATAAACATTACTCTTGTAAAAATTCGAATGGACAAAAATAAAAAAAGGTCGAATATTTCATGGTATTTACCAAGTTCTATGTGTATGTGTTGATCGAGAAATATTCTAGTGTGGTTTCCCCTTGTCAGTGTTGTAGGACAGTGTCTCATTGTACGGGTGGGATGAAAAACCAAGTTCACGTGTACACGTTGGCGTGCACGTTGAAGCATGTTGAACAGTTGTCAATATTACAAGTCATTTATAGCACGCTTCATTCGTTAACAGGTTTAACCCCTCGGCCTTCGGCCTCTGGTTAAACCTGTTAACTCATGAAAGCCGTGCAATAAATATAACGTATTTCATTTCGTGTATGTGTTCTGTGTGACTATAAACAGAAGCATGGTGTAATATTGCAGACAGCTTCAGGGATTTTATTCACTGAGAGGTTTTTTTTACAACGTTTCACTAACGGCGAGGGTACACTCATTCAAATGTTATCAATAAAGATGCATGCATTCCTATATGTTGCTTAATAGAATGCTTGTAAAAGATGGTGTATTTTATTTTCCGACCTGTGATAATGTCCTGTGTGAATAAATATTTCACGTTTACCGAATTACATGTTGGAACGGCTTAATAGATTACTTAAACATACATTATGCAAGAGCTAAATCTGTCTATTGCAGGTCTTTCTTTTGGTCTGAAATGTTATCTAAATTATTAATTAGACATTAATTAACCTATCCAGACCATAATCAACTCTAGATGGCATCGCTAGCCTGCGATCTCTAGTGGATTATGAGCCGATTTACTGCATAACTTTCCTTCACGATTTATCGATTAAATCGATAATCGAGACTATGCTGTTTAACGTACTGACTTTCGTAATGATGACCAAGGCTAGTCGGAAATTTCAACCGCTTAGTTCCCGGTTCATAGTGTATCAATTTGAATGAAATTTTCGGCAAATCGCCTTTACATTATCTAGTTTTTAACTATTATAGTGAGAACTGCCAACTTGTTATCGAATCTCCCATAATGTATCTTTAAGCTATAACTCTTGTCAATGCATTTGTAAGGAAAGGCGTATATAATTCTATCATCGAGAACTCTTCAACTTTAATCTATATAGTAATGTATACCTTAGCAAGATTTGCTGTTTTAACTTTATCTACTGCATATTCCATCCATGGTATGTCTTCAAAATTCTTCACTTTCCGTCCCAGATGTTTTATTTCATCAGGATCCGTTGCCTTCAAAACCTTCTCTTTTATGATTTCGTCTTCAAATACAACTTTCGTAAAAAGAAAATAAACAATTTGTATAGAGTTTGTATAAATTAAGATCAAAACGCAAGATGACACAAATTATTTTGTAATCTATAAATTACATCTATAGCTTTTACAATAGTATCATTGTGGTAACGCCAAGTTTCGTAAATGTATCCCGCAATATCAATTCTATATCCGTTTCTCAACACTCAATCGGGAACTGATTAATGATATTATCCCTAGAGTATAATTAGGTCATCAGTTCGTAAAACACAATTGATATAGTATTTCTAATGACATATAAAAATAAAATGTCCCTTATATACACACTTTCATTTCTTTTGCTATCGCCGCACGTTGAGCTTTTCGGAAATGTATAGTTTCGATTTCGGTTTAGCCGACCTTTAAGTCGAAATAGAAAACCCCACCCAGGAGAAGAATACTAATCAGAAGATAGGTTGCTAGGCAACAAAACAAACGCCCACAACAGCTAAATCGTCCATGCAGTCGACAAGTGTTGTCACATATTTATGCTTTGGTAGGTAATGGAAGCATTTACAAGAAACTGATATCACTTTCATACACGTCGAATGTTCACAAGGAGGTTTAACAAAGTGAAACAAGGGTCGTAACTGTAGTTATTAACAGAAATCCCTCAATTTACAAAAATTGTTGAAATTCGACGGGCTTTTTCGTTTTACTAATTTAAATACTGCATATAAATTTCATACAGATATGATGATGACTTTTGTCGTTCGGGCGTTCAAAAGGTTAAAAAAATATAGACTTCTTCGTTTTACTATTCTAAATAATGCATATAAATTTCATACGAATCATAAGGTAACTTTTGTCATTAGAGCTTTCACAAGGAGTTCAACAAAATGAAACAAGGGCCATAACTGTAGAAGTTCTTAACGGAAATTGCTGAAATTCAATACGATTCTTCGTGTTACTAATTTGAATATTACATGTTATTTTGGGGTGGGGTCGTTGTGCATGCCAACTGCCAAGATAATATTTAAGCTTAGCCTACTACCATCGCGCAGGCGTGGTCTACCATCCCGTTGCCAGGTAATCCGGGCACCGTAGCATCAATGTCATACACAAACCAATGATAAATACTTTTTAATGACACCCTTTACGTTTCGTAGCTAATAAATTACCTGCTTTACTAAACATCATATACTGTTCAGCGCAGGAGAACTCCATACCATCCACCTCGAACCGACATTTGTGATGTTGACTAAATGGCGAATCTCTTCCATAAAATAATTCATATTGGTCGACCATTCTGCTTCTTCAAGTCCTCCTTGTACTTTAGAACCGATAACATAATGTTGTGAAATCCTACTTTCACTTTAAGTATGACTGATAAAAGGCAGTTCCCAGAAAACTATGGTGTTCTGTTTCAGCCACTTCCCGCGTCGCTCTTATCAATGTTAAACTATAGAGAAAAAAGCGACGTCGACTTTACAACACGAAGTTGAACCTGAAATCGGTAAGTTTTTTGGTTTTGTTTTCATTATAAATTATTATTTGATACTTATATCCTAATATATTGTTTTTCCCAGACATTTTGTACTGGTAGCTGACATTCATTCCAATATTTCATTTAGTGATTATAGATTGCATGTCTGGGTTAAATAATGCAGAAGTGAACGTCATCTTGGATTCTTTCAACATCTTTTAATCTGATTTCCTCGGTGTTTGCTACGTAAAGGGCGACGCGTCGCTTTTTGAAGGCCAACGTCGTGTTAAAAAGTCGATGTCGTCTTTTTTTCTCGATAGCTTAACATTTTAAAAAAAAAACCGACGCGCAGCGCGAATTTTGCGTCGCGAGTCACGCGTCGCTTTTTTTAAGGGCGACACCATATAGAACACCATAGAAAATGTACCAAATAAATATTTTTACAATTCACAATATTCTACTTTTAATTTCGTTTTCATTGTAGAGCAGCTCACCAAATATTCCCTGAAAAACACTCATGGAGCACATGCAGGACAAAAATGTACGGGCTTCCCTAATCGACAGTGTTATTTTTAGTCTTTCTCTCCCTCTCCCCCCCCCCCCTTGCATGGCGATTTTTGTGGACTTTTTGGTGTAAAATCGAAAATACATTTTCTGCCAGTTTTTGGTGAATATTCATGATTTTAAGGCGGAAGGATACAAAAGTTGAGAGGTTGGTTAGGTTGAAATGTGTGGCGGAAAATTGAGAGGTCAGCATTCCATTAATAGTTTCATCTTTCACCGACTCCATACTGATAAGCAGTGAATATTCGCTAGTCCGCTAAAATCACTAATAGGGATTACATTGGTGCGGTTAATGAGCTCGCAATATTAACTTGTTTCTTCGTTCAAATTAAATTCTAGAACATTTACTTGACGTATACGAAAAATAAATAAAGGTGTTTGAAGTATACCTAGAAAAAAAATATTTCGTTTTTAGTGTACATGGGTAGATGAAATGAGTAAAAGACACCAATATCCCTGGACCGGTATCGACGGCCCAGGGCATCAATCAAAGACGGGAATAAGAGAAGGCCGTAGCGCCGCTGTACGGGCAAATTGTCCGTTATAGCACACTGCGTGGAATATTCCAGTCTTGGTTAGCACGAGTGGGCAGAATAATAGGGTGTTAAACGCCATTTGGTATCATCTATATTTTCTGCACTGAGTTGAGTAATATTTATTTGTAGGGTAGACCTATGTAAGATTCTGGAGTATGTGTAGGCCTAGTTTATTGCTTCACGTCTATATCAAAATATAAACAAAATGCCACAAACAAATGGTTTTATTTTGCAAAGAATATTACATAAAATTTAAATATTACTAAACAATTCATACGTTTTTAATTTATCAAAATAAAGATGAAAACAAAATAGGAGTTTTATTAAATTCAAATTTAAATATGATCTGTCAAAATGTTTAAAAAAAAGTATTAGCTACACGGTCACAGTCACGCATATTAAACTAATAAAGATATGACATGAGGCTAAAAATATGCCCTCATGCGCCATTGGCATTTGTAGCTAAAATATCAAATTTCTTACGACTTAATCCGCGTTAATAGGTACTCAGATTGATTATTTAACATTTAATTAAGAAAACAAAATCAAAACAGCCACTTTACATAATGTCCTGACTTGAATTCAATCGGATTTAAACTATCCATCAGGTTTTTCCGCTACCAATAAAAGATGGCGGCGTCTTGTTTGAGCAGCATATTCTAAGATCTATAAAATTTCACTTCCACATATCTATGTAAACACTGAACGGAACTGAACCGTTTGCAAGTCTTAGTGATTCCCCTTGCTTAAAATGGCGCATCACGACTTGAACTATACTTGAGCACTATTTTCAGGCAATCGAACAGCAAAGTAGAATCGTTTTGTTAGCCTAGGCAATATTCTATCAAATGTAAATTTGACGATATACAGAATGATCAAACTGTAGGGTAGGTGAGATTTAACATGTACAGTACGAGCCGTGTGAGACGCACGGTCGAAAGATTAAGACAATGAGCAATCAATAGAAAAATCGTAGTAGCGATAATAAAATAGTAAACACTGCCCGAAACCGTTGAACGACTTCAGGGGAAACAACTCTTAATTTTCGTCATGGGTTCGCACTACGGATTCTAACCCTTTTCATTAATCTAATAATCTAATAATAAACAAAACAAAAACTGCATGTAAAAGGCGAGAAAATATAAGAGGGAATAGATATATTTATAAATAACTGACACAATTACGGTGTGAGGTCAATATTATTACATAACATTAGAAATCTCGTCTTAAATGATCGGAATAAAGCTGGTTATTTCATAACACTAAATTATTTACAAATGTTGAATATCTTTAAAAATTTGTTTCTTTTCAACACCAGTGCGCAAAATTAAAAATATGTAGATTCATCAATCAATTAAATCTTCATCTCGCATGAGTTGGTCACGTACATCAGTGAGGGCATATCCTAGAAGATTTTTACCCCTCCATGTTTTCGAATCCCAAGCCTTTTCATTTTTTCCAGACATTCCTATTCCCCACCGCCTATCTCTTGGACTGGCTTCCACTAGAATTTTAGGATAAGTGTCAAATAACTCTTTCTGTAAATCTTTGTTCTGTGAAAACTGCAAAACACAAAGTCATTTGTTAACATATCATGAGAAAATAGATGTTGCTAGTGATTGAAATAAATGTATTTACTGTCGTGGTCTTTAATTATTGATGAAAACGACACATCACGAAAAAATTTTGGACCAAAGATAGAGCTATAGTCAATGACTCAATGCATTAATCAGCAGGACTTTGTTGGTGAGAAATACAAAAAAAATCTGGATCTTTTTTAAACACCTATATAGTTCATCAACATCGATGTTTCTGTATTTATAGTAGTGGTGGATGTTATGCACGAGGCAGAGTATGCTTTACACAATTCTTTGCAATCGGAAGTCGGTTACATTGCCACGTTCCCCTAGCGCGCTTCATGCACTATTACATATTTAGACATATTCCCCTGAAAATACCACGCTTATATCGACGATACTATATTTTATTTGGCAAAAAGAGCGCTTTCTAACAATCGATGGTAAATATACAATTATACGAACTATATTGTTTGCGGTGCATCAATGATCAAGCCAGCTTGGAAAGAAAATTGAATACCGGTGCTAGCGAAGGCAACTTCAACCACAGATGTAAATACTCCAATTCCATAGAGCAATATTTACCATCTTGTGGTCCACGACAACGAAGCCCGCAAAGGAATTAGAATGTAAATTGCCGACTGGACAATACATATTGTTTCGCGCATATTTATTTCATAATTAAATTTATTAGATTAAAGGGAGCATTTCATATTTTCTCAACTCACTATTATACGATCAAAGGTATCATTCTCCCACTTATAAATCCTTGACCCCAGAAATAATAACACAATAACCTCCCTTATTTTTCTATCCCCCCCCCCCATAGAATAGCTATCTTCAAACTTTTGAATTTGAAGTTGAAAATGATATTTTTGCCAATTTCTCAACTGGCAATAGTGAATTATAGGATTAATAGGATTATTCTTTAACAAGGTAGGACTGTTTATAGATACCATCTATTTTAAGGCTTTATTTTAATACATTTTAAAAATATAACTGAAAAATATGAAATTGAAACTTTAAGATGACCCATGGGAATTTACATCCCTGCATTAGAGAAATTTCCTTTCGGTTTTACCTTAGCAGCATTTCCCCTTTTTACAATATCAACAGCCTTCTCGTTCCATTTGTCTAGATCAAAGTTCTTTACCTTTCGTCCGCAACGTTTCATCTCCACTGGCTGCGTGGATTCTAATATGGTTTTCTTCATTATTTCATCACCAAAAGTAACTAAAGTAAATGCAGAAGAAATATAAGATTAACATGGCATACATTGTATCAATAGCAATTATATTTATAATTTTCCCAAAAAAGTTATTAGCGCACTTCCCGCAAATTGAATTTAAGGCAATAAATTCTCCCCTGAGTGCTATTTCAATAAAAGGTTACATACTCTACTCTTTTCAATCATTACCTACCTACAAATTCACACGAAACAAACAGTTCTTCTCTGAAATGGGGTATAAACGTAATTTAGACGAATTTTACTTGATTGAAATTGATCGCGAAAACGTTATTTCTAATTTTGAAATGATAGGCTAATCGTTTCTTTAACAGAAGAATTGAATTCAATCTTCATATTACAACATCCTTTAAACGGGTCGATTCTCGCGAATTGAGAATATTGATCGGAAATATAAAACCGACAGTTTGGCCTACAGTAAACCGCGTCCCCACAACTAAACAGGACTGTGACAGTTCTCGGAACTATGAATACTTATTAACCGAGACTATACTATTTCTTTCGACGCATTATCCAGGAACTAACCTGCTTTCATATACATCATATATTGTTCCGCACAACAGAACTTCACACCATCAATCTCAAATTCACATTTATGATGTTGACTAATTACGGACGCCTTTCCATAAAAATAGACATAACGATCCTTTCCTTTCAGATCATCTTTTGATAACAGCCGATAGTTTGTTTCATCACTAGTTTCACTTTCACTTACACTGTCCCCATTCACTTCCTTGTCACTGTCAATCACATCAACATTTTTCTCTGTCATTTTGGTGTTACTTGTTTACTGGTTTACCTTCAGAAAGGATTAGCCTTTACCTCCTGTCTTAGTGGATTTTTGTACATGTAAGCATTAGGCTATCGTTACACACGACTGTGCAATTTGAATAGGTTTTATTTATAGCCTATGGCTTTACTATAATATCCATATAGGTCAGTACGTTATACAAAAGGGTTGTCGAAAGCGTTATGGGTAAGATCTTGTCCTCATATTGCTTGTATTTACAAGTTGGCGGTTTATCTCGTGGATAATTCTATACTGACGTACTGTTACGTTCGGGTCATTATTAGTACACAGTAGCCAACAAACAATCCCGGATGTTTTACGAGTTTTCAAAACCTTTGTTTCCTTGTCAAAAATTGGTCAATGGGAGATAACTCCATTTTTATAAGGAGTCGTTAATTGGGATTAGACTAGTAATTCCCTCCCAATTACCGTCAATGTCACATCCTTAACCTGTAACATTTTGAAAACAGTCATCTGATGAAAATATTGAAAGACATTGATCATTCTAATTTTTTGTTACGCCCGATCAAAGGATCTATGGGCTATGGCGTAATTTTTGAACATGATTTCCCTAAATTCATGTCTGATTATTTCCCGATCCTTCCACCCCTAAACACGGCTTCTCATCAAAACCTGGCAGAGAATGTAAAGTCAAACAGTCTTCTTCAAATTTAAATTTTAAAAAAGTCAACAATAATTGCAAGACATCTTTGTTATTGTACAAAAATGAAGCATGATCTGATCCTCTAGTTTTAGATTTTGTTTCCTCTTTGCTATTTTTTATAAATATCTTCGAGTCCACAGATGATAAAATAGAAGCATTATCGAGGATGAGTCTATGTTGTGTGGGTGTTTGTGGTGTCTGGGGTCTTAAGTGCAACAGTGTTTTAGGTAAAGTCAATAGTAAAGCCAGATCCCACGATACGCAGACCGTCCGCGACACCTATGTCTTTGGCAAAAGAGAGTGAGAGAAATAGGGTTTAACGTCCACTCAATACAAACTAGGTCATTTCGGGACTAACAAATGTTTCAATTTTATTTCCATAATTAGCTTGCGCGTAGGGGTCTTTAGCAGTGGGAGGAAACCGGAGGACCCGGAGAAAACCCACGAGGTTGGACAGGCGACTCTACTCCTTGTCACGTACAACTAGGGATTCGAAACCACGCCAGTTCACTCAATGACAAACTTTATGATACAGCGCGCACGTGCTAACCATTCAGCCACCCAACCCCCATGTCTTTGGCAAAGCTGTCTGTTTGAAATATTGCATGGCCTGATTAATGAAAATTCACCTTAAGTTTTAATGTATTTTTACAACAAACCAATTACAACAGTTTTTAATTCAGAAACCTTCAGTTGAAACTTCATCCACTCAATTTCTTAGATCCTGAAGTATTATTCTATTTTCTCTTTTTCTTGCATTTAAATGAATATTACTTATCAAAATAACAAGAAGTACTAAATATTTTGTAAATTTTATTAATCAACTCCATATATTAATAAACATAACAACATACTTTATAATTGTCACAATATAATAATATTACACTTCTATGTTTCAAAAATTTAAACAAAAATGAGCATAGTAATAAAGATAAAAGATTAAAAAATTTCATAATTCGAACGAATGTTTCTCGATCGTCCATCATGAGACTCAAATTTTCAAATATATGTAATACAGAAAATGTGATTGGTCAGTACGATCACGTGATCTAATTTTAATGTGGCACACAATAAATGGAACGCAATGACATCTGTAATGATAGTTTCAGAAGATATAAATCTACGCTGTTGGTCAGACGGTCTATAAATGAAAAAAATGTGTTTTATTACAAATGGATAGTAATCGTTAGTAAAACAGTGTGAACTGGTGTAAACACCATACTTACATTTTTATTTACAGGTACACGGTTTAAAAAAACCCCTTCAATTATCAGTAAGTATAGGATCGATGTAGGTCGGCATAGGCGTACGTAACTTTCGAGCAATCTGACTTTCCGGCAGACGGGTAAAGTGAAAACAAAAATTATTATTTCATCTAGCTGGCAAAATAAAGTGCCCGAAATCTAATAAAACACTAATTTGTACTGAATTGGCTATTGATTAAAACATTTTGTCTGGAGCCACTCTACTTTGCGCGACATTTTTCGGGCTTAGATTATTATTTGTGAATGGAGCTGCAACAGTCTGATTAGATGGTTGGATTTAAGGTCGGCATAGAGTGGGATTCCGGTTACAAAACAACTTTAAAGTTGCTGAACTTACAGGCTATAATAGGAGAAAAACGTATTTGCGGGGGTTAAATTTTCAAAATTTTCGCTGGGAGAGCGAGGGCCTCGTACCCCGCGGCAATTAATTGGCTTTATTGAACCACGTTTCATTCAGGGGCTGGAAGAGCAGAAAAACGCGTTTGCGGTAGTTAAATTTCTCCGTGGACTGTAAACGATTGATTAGTTTACTGGATTTCGAGTCAGCCACCCAAATTAGGCAATATTAGACCACTTTGAGGTCGCTGTAATCACGGACTAGAATACAGCAAATTTTCCAGATGAACTTGGAGTGTCCCTACACCGTAAGCTCTGCTCATTCGCCGCTAGCAGAAGACCGGCGCCGCCGTCTGTAACTTGAAATTGTTTCGGGCATTTCGTGTTCTGTCCCCTTAACAGCCATCGGGCCCGTACGTCTATGTAGGTCGGGTTAATGCTGATACATATTATGTTTTAAAACGCAAATCAACTATGTCCAGTTCCTTTAAATCTTGAAAAAATTGGTAAACTGTCACACTTTGGTTTTCTTAAATATAATTGAATAAGTACATTTATATATCAACTAATACACTAAAAATAAAGAAGACGAAATCAGTAACCTATTATAAGCGGACTTCAGTCATATTATACTAATCATGGAATTTGATTTTCAAGGGAAAATCACACTATTATAATATATAGATGGACAATTCACAAATTTGTCACTTAATTACAATGCACGTGTTGGTATGCATAAATGATGTGGAAAATCATGGCTTAAATATCGATGACGATCGCACAATTGGCCATTTAATCAATCAAACCTTCCTCCCTCATCAGATCATCCCGAATACCTGTTAACTGAGTTTTTAAATCATATTTCTTCTTATTAACTGTTTTAGAATATTCTCCACCTCGTGAGGGTTTACTTGGCTGTTCTTGTATAATTTTAGGATAAGTGTCATACAGTTGCCTCTTCATATCTGGGTGTTGTTTCAACTGTAATAAGGATATAGAAGAAAATTAATTTCTGGAAACGAAATGGGATATATTTAACCACTCAGTCAAATCAAAATCATTTCGAGACTAAGATAATAATATTATGTTATATCTCTATTTTAGTACTTCGATTGTACGCAGTTTTTTTTTTGGCGGGGTGGTGGTGGACTGCAGAAATATCACTCACTACACTACTACTGCCATTATAATTCAAGACATACCATTATATTTCAAGACAGTCGAAATGTGGGACTAGACAATTTCCTTAAAGCCAGAACATGCAAGAACAAGATTTAAGCATATGTACTAGACACGACCAATTATACTTTTATTAAATATTTATTGATCCACAAATTATTCAAACCTATCAATTCTAAATACAATTATTGCCATTTAAAGTTTACATTAGTTTTTATTAATTTCCAACTGCTATCTGCCCATGTCTAAATCCTAGTTCACAGCCTGTCGTACTGTTGACACACACCGATCATATGGTTTGGTAGCCCCAGAGGGCAAGTGTCCCCAAAATGGGTATTTTATATAGAAGTTGTCTCATTTTAATAAATTCAATTCATTTTATCTTGATATACGCTGCCTTAAAGCGAGAATTTCATATTTTCTAAGAAAGTCAAAACATAATTATTTCTATGTCTTTTGCTCAATAGGTTATCAACTCACTATTATACGACCATGGGCATCATTTCCCACATTTAAAATCATTGACACGGGAAATAATAACACAATTACCTCACTTGTTTTCCTATTGCCTCCATGCAGTAGCTACCTTCAAACGTTGGAATTTGAAGTTGAAAATGATATTTTTGCCAATTTATCAGCTGGCAATAGTGAATTATAGGATTAATAGGATTATTCTTTAACAATCTAGGACGGTTTATGGATACCATCTATTTTAAGGCTTTATTTTAATAAATTTTAAAAATATAACTTAAAAATATAAAATTGTAGCTTTACGTTAAGAATTTACTGTTTTAAACGCTTACCATTGCTTGGTATCCTTGTGTCGTATATTTGTGGGCGTTTTCCCCAAACCATTTGGCAGGATCAAAATTAACCACATCTTTACCGCAATTCTGGATTTCAATTTCTTCGGAAAACTTCATTATTTTTTCCTTCCGAATGTTATCCCCAAATAATTCTACATAAAATAAATTGTATACCTTACAGTTATCCATTAAAAGTGGATTATGTATAAGATTTTGATAAAGAGATGGCCGTTCTTGCTATAATAGATAAAAGTGGATTTTGTATAAGATTTAGATAAAGAGATGACCGTTCTTGCTATAATAGTTCAAAAATAGATAATGAAAAAAGATGTTAGTATTTTAATATTGACAAAAAATAGCCGATTGTAAAGTATCGTTGCCATATTAATAAACTAAGTCTCGAAGGTCGGTGCTTTTATGGTCTGGTGTCCATTTAACGTTAACAGATTATATCACGCTAGTCTCGAAGGTGGGTGCTTTTATGGTGTGGTGTCCATTTAACGTTAACAGATTATATCACGCGGATGGTCTAATAAATTCAAAGTCTCAGCCTTTAGAGAGAGAGAGAGAGAGAGAGAGCGAGTGAGAGAGAGAGAGAGAGCGAGTGAGAGAGAGAGAGAGAGAGAGAGAGAGAGAGAGAGAGAGGAGGTGGGGTTTAACGTCCACTCGACAAAAACTAGGTCCTTTCAGGACTAACACATGGGTTCAATTTTATTTCTAAAATTCTCATGCGCGTAGGGGTCTTTAGCAGTGGGCGAGAGGTGGGTTTAACGTCCACTCGACAAAAACTAGGTCATTTCGGGACTAACACATGGTTCAATTCTATTTCTAAAATTCGCTTGCGCGTAGGGGTCTTTAGCAGTGGGAGGAAACCGGAGGACCCGGAGAAAACCCACGTGGTTGAACAGGCGACCCTACTCCTTGTCACGTACAACCGGGGATTCGAAACCACGCCAGTTGACAGACCTTATGATACAGCACGCCCCCCCCCCCCCCACCTCAGCCTTTAGTAGAAGCTGTTGAGTGTTATTGGTGGCCAACAGAATCAAAACAAACATTTTATTTCTTTTTGACAATTGGGCTGTTTTATCTAAATATAAAGTACCGTTAGTTAGTTCTAGTAGTGTAAGCCAATCCAAAGTCGAATAAAATAGAACAAGCTCTATTTCAGCGACTCCCACACTTTTGAAACCGACTGACATTGCTTATTGCAGAGTTAGAGTTTGTCAACAAATAGAACAATTAATTGTGGAATTGTGATGACTTACACTGAGATATTGACATTGTAAACCGAACATTAATGTACTTACCTGCTTTCTTATATTCTACAAACTGAGTAACACTGCAAAAAGTAACACCATCTACTTCAAATTCCCTCTTATAGCCCTTACTGAGTGGAGAGCCAGCTCGAATCAACTCGAACTCCTTTGAAAGTTTTTGAGATAATTTCCTGTAATCTTTATACTTAAAAGCTTCTTCTCGTGGTTTAGATTCGGGTGCAACAGCAGCTGCTTCATCGGAGGTATTATCTTCCTTGGGTTTATGAGGACTTTTCGCGACACGTGTTTCTAAGATGTCCTTTCTATCTTTTAAAACATCTTTTGGTGGTTTAGAATCAGTTTCAGTTGGGGATGTTTTGTAACCGTTGTCTTTATCAACCGTTGTTTCATGTGTTCTATCATTTTCATAACCTCTGTTCTGCTTTTTATCCTTTGAGGATCTGGATTTTTTTTGATTTTTTTTACTAGCTTTCGACGTGTCCAAATCACTGCGATCCATTCTTCGTTTTCTGTCACCATTCCCATTCATGAACGAATCTTTAACACGGTCATCGACTTTGGTTTTTCTAGAAAGTAATATGGAAGCACCCGATTCCTGTTTATCGGGCTCTTGGTTGTTCAACTGAACAATATTCTCTTTTGGCTCATCATTTATTCTGTCCTTACTTAAATCTCTCGCCATAGCATATTCTGACGATTCGGTTTCTGCTTCATTGCCTTTAATTCTATCAAAATCTATTGCAGACCCAGCAGAATCTAGTACTTTGGAATCCGAATTGTCTTTCGAAGCGTCTGATTTATCATTTTTATCAGTGAGCAATTGAAATCTATTACTTTCAAAACCCGAATCAGTATCATCGGTCTCTTCGGGCGTTTCAGTATGGTCCTGTGAACCAGTTGGTTTAGAAGGATGTGATGTGGTTCTTTGGTCGTTAAAAGGATCTGAAAATTGGTTATCCTTTATAAGTTCATCACGAACTTCCATTTGAATGAATTCGCTCCAATGTTGTCGTTTAAAATAGACCTCTTTACATACAGATGGGTCGTTCATGATCTCCTGTTTTTCTCTTTTCTGAAGATTTAATATTGTCTTTGGAAACGAGTTAATGAGTAATCCTCTAAACTCATCATTCTGAGAAATCTAAAGAATATAGATTATCAATAAATCAATGAAGAACTTTACTTTGATATTCAAGAGAAACAGCTTTTTCTTAATGCAAAGCCCACTGTTAGTAAAGGCGTTCTTAAAGAGACATTGTTCCTTTCAATCGGATAATAAATGTTATTAAATTTACATATATCACATTTAAAATAACTAGACTAAACTGACTAAAAACTATTATTGTTCTACTTACAGCCTATACTGTGTACGATTGGTATTACGAATATGAATACTAAAACATCCATATTTCACAGGCTGAAGGATCTGTCCGATGACAATGTAAAATTAAATCCTAAATACACCGATCCAAAGCCCACGTATGCCAAAATATGTTACAACTTTCGACTTTCGATACATTTTATTGAGAAACCTGTTGGACAACTTTCAATTTTAACGTATCTGTCATTATGTAGAACAAACGATCAATGGGCGAACGCCTGGCCTAACCCCGTCATGTGTGAGCAGACTCAGTGGTTAACTCATGTAATGAGTTTGTACATACATGTATATATGTGTTTATGAGAAAAGAAGTGTACAGTACCTTAGCTTTAACACCTTTCTTGTATATATTATTTCTTTGCTCGTGCCACTGTTTGAAACTGAAGTTAGAAACCTTGCTGTCCATTAAATCATCTGGTGTAGATATTCCACTAGCTCGTTTCTTACTAGCGTCATCTTTAAAATAATCTGAACAGAAATTAACATATATAAAATACTCCGAATTCCATGGCAATTGCCATCAAAATTTGTCTGAAGAACAAAATCTACACAATGTTTGAATTATCATATTATTCATAACTATGAAAATTTGTTTTATTGTATTACACAGCACAGTACTATGGATAACAATCACTAATTTGGTATGCTTGATAACGACTACTGAAACCTTGCCCAAACGTCATGTGTATATCCATAGAACTGTGTTGTGTTACGTTATGCTCAATGCTAAGAGGATTAAAATAAATTGTTTAAATGGAAATTAAAACAGTGGCTTCTATCAGTTAAACGTTTACCAGAGCACAACCACCTGGAAGAGCCTGCATGCTAGTATTAATAAATGTATTATTTTGTAACGGTTCTTACCTGCTTTACAATAAAACATGTATTGGTCCAGAAAACAAAATTCAACACCATCAACAACAAACTTACTACAATGACGATTACTTAACGGTGAATCATTATCGAAGAATAAAAACTTCTCTGAATGAACATGGCTCTCCCTGCTGTTCGAAGATTCTTTAACGGGGGGTGAATATTTGGGCTTTCTTGTATCATTGGTTCGACGAGAAACGTTTTCTTTGGCCCAAAGCTTATCACGGACATCCATCAATATCAAATCCCTCCAAAACCAGTCCTTGTTCTCACGTTTCGTTAAGAGATTTGGCCCTTGTTTTATTATATCCTGTCTCTCATATCCTTTCACTTGAAGTATTTTCTTTGGATATGATTTTAACAAAGTATTCTTTAGAGATTCATTTTGTGTAAACTGAAACAAAAAGATTATTAGTTTATAAAACCATGCACGACTCCATTAGCTCCCGAAACCAATTGTGTATTAAAGGAAACATCGGTCTCGGTCCCTGGGGCCCAATTCATGAAAACTTAGATAAAAATATTTTAATGATGCAAGCATTTCATTGGTTGAAAGTTAAAATCCTAGTAATTTTTTTATTTATCTCTTAGCCAATGACAGGGCTGAATTCTTAAAAATATTTTAGTTTCAATATTGGACCCTAGGAAATATTATCATATAAATGCTGTTGATATCGGTTATTTCCTATTTCTCCAAATTAAAACTCACAAAATGGGAGGGAATAATAGATTTTGTCCGTAGATTAAAGTTAATATTTTTTAAAATAAAGACCGACTTCCAATGCATCTGTCGTAATGAAGATTTAATCTGAGTCCACCCACCCAACTAATTGCAATAAACACCAGAGAACAAATACATGATATTCAACACATTATTTAAACGAAAAGCAAAGACATGTTATAAACCTATAACGGTAAATCTCTTTGATCTTTGGTGTTTATTCTATGTCTGGGAAATTTTGGGTTATGCTTCTGAAAGTTTTTCTTTAAATTCGTAACGGGTTATTCTTCCAGGGTAGGTTTTTTCCCATAAGAAAACATGATACAAGGTTCTTCTTACGGGAATTCTGGGATATTCTCATCTTGCGTACATGTAAACATAGACGCTTTATAAGCAAGATAAAATACTCGACTTCGGTTATGCTGGGAAAGAAAAAAAAACCTCGACAGCAAAACCTCGGCCTGCCGGCCTCGCGGTTTTTCCTTTTTCTCGGGTAATTGTCTTCAGTCTTTCTCCCCCCAGCATAACCTCAGTCTCGTGCTTTATAGTCATTTATCAGCTTTTATTGTACTATTTGTTAAATATGCATATTCATTTAGAAATTCTAACAGTTTAAACTCCATGATATGTATTATTCTCGTCCATTATTTCTCTATAACCTCATTTACTTTAAACATTATTTCTCTATAACATCATTAACGTATGCAAGAGCTAAATCTGCCTATTGCAGGTCTTTCTTTAGGCCTGAAATATTATCTAAATTATTAATTAAACATTAATTAACTTATCTGGACCATAATCAACTCCCGATGTCATCGCTAGCCTGCGATATTTACTGGATTAGGATCCGATTTGCTGCTCAACTTTCATTCATGATTTAATCATGAAATGGATAATCAAGACTCTGTTTTTTATCTTACCGACTTTAGTAATGATGATCGAGGCTAGGCCCAATATTCAATCGCTAAATTCTCGGTTCAGGGTGGATCAATTTGACTGAAATTTGCAGCAAATTCCCTTTACATTATCTTGTTTTTAACTATTATAGTGATAACAGCCAGCTCTTTATCTAATTGCCCATAATGTATCTTTAATCAAACTTTATTTTGGTAGCCTACCAGTTAAAGAATTAAAGTTTTCAAAAGTTGTATTAGAGAAATGTGGAAGATTCAAAAAATTCATATATGACCATAATATTGTATGTTTTAAGCCTAGTCGAAACGTCGCTCATTAATAAGCAGTAATTGTATTCCATAGAATTGTGACCTGTTCAATTACTAAATGCCACTGAAACAATTTGCTTTAATAAATTCTGATTCAAACAATACCTTGGCTTCAACTCCTTTTTTACAGCTAACTTGGCTTTCTTCATACCACGTATTTTCATCATAATTATCTACCTTGTCTTCTATATTATATAATTCACGGGCTGATTTTATACTTAGCGCCTTCTCCATCTGAACTCTGTCTTTAAATAATGCTGAAAAGATGAAAACAAATGTTACAATTCCATTTGGTGAGATCGACCATATTAAAAACAAAAGAATAGTGTTACATTGGGCGACATGTGGGTTTGCGAGACAGATGGACATTTTAATTCAAATATACATTCTCATTTATAAGATTTACCAAACAGAGGTTCAGTAGCAATTTTACAAAACCAGGATGCCGCACCTATGCAGATAGATCGGCGTTATAAGAAATATACAATCTTATACGTACCTGCTTTTCTATAGAACATATAATGTTCTACCGAATAGAACGTTTGATCATCAACAATAAACTCACAAGGATATTCTGAATGAAATGGTGATTCCATCCCCCAATAGAACACATACTTATTAGAATTGGGTTCTCTCTGTTTATCCTTGAATCTCCTTCTTTCGAATACTAGAGCGGTTTCTGTTGTCTCGAATTCCCTCTGATCACGTTGTAGAGTAGGGATAGTGGGTTCTTTTATTAGATTTTCTTTCATCATTAGTTCATCTCGTACATTTGTCAGAGTTTGCCCTAGCAAATTTCGTCCCCTCCAACAGTCTTTATGTAAAGCTCCTGGGTCCTGTTTGGAGAGCCCGATGCCCCATCTCGTGTCACTGGGACTACATTCCACTAATAACCTTGGGTACGTTGTAAACAACCTTTTTTTTAAAAATTTGTTCTGCGAAAACTTAAAAATAAAATGATATATTTATAGATTTTTTTTGAAGAAGTGATAATACATAATGAATACCCCTTTGAAATGGAAGGGAGTTTAACGAAGATGGACATACGTCATTTGGTGTGGCGGTGTTTCCGTCTACGCTTCATCGAATTTCAACTTTCCCGGCCATCACCGGGATCGAACCAAGGAACTTTTGTTTAGTAAGCGCCCTACTCGCTGACCAGTCGTGGCTCCCAAAATACACCCAAATTGAAACATAATATATTCACAGTCACTTTAATATAGTAAATGTAGCAAAGGCTAACACTCGACAAACCTCGGCAGATTCCGTTACTCTACATCTAGCCTCGGCAGTATGACGGTATGTGATATGTGCCCACGCCTATACAATTATTGCGATGCGACACCGGTTTATTTATTGGAAAAACTTTCCGCTTTTAAAAAGAAGTTATCAAAACTGTGTCGTTCGAAGCGTGTTTAGAATTTTCAGTGCAAAGTTGTCCTTGTTTGAAGAAAATCAGAAAAAACAGCTTCAGACTTTGAAATATTTGTATGATAAAACATTCTTCAAAGGCGTCGTCATAGGCAACGCCGATGGTAATCCGGGAACTTGAAAGTAATTCCAATACCGGACTTCGTCATACAGCCGAGGCTAGATGTAGGGTACTGAAATCTGCTGAGGGTTGCCGAGTGAAAGACTAAGAAGAATTTTCTTATTGAGAACTCTTCTTTCTGATTTATTCAACTTCAGTCTATAGTAATGTCTACCTTAGCAAGATTTGCTGTTTTAACTTTATCTACTGCATGTTCCATCCATGGTATGACTTCAAAATTCTTCACTTCCCGCCCCAGATGTTTTATTTCAACAGGATCCGTTGCCTTCATAATCTTCTCTTTTATGATTTCGTCTTCAAATACAACTATCGTAAAAAGAAAATAAAACAATTTGTATAGAGTTTGTATAAATTAAGATCAAAACTCAAGATGATACAAATTATGTTGTAGTCTATAAACTACATCTATAGCTTTTACAATAGTAATAGCTTTTACAATGGTTATTAAAATGACTAAAAGGCAGCATTCTGCCCGAAGCAGTAACGTCTTGTGTAAACCATGCACGCGCCATTCAGCCAATGATTGACGCCACGTGCTGTGACGGCACGTGTTAGAGGCAGTCATCTTTTAGAGAGATATTTGAGAAGACTCGTAATTCTCTGTAAAACAGATTGGACGAAGGGCCGTTCGGATTTTGAGGAAAAGACGGGCAAAATATCCCGCACATAATTCACTTTCATTTCCTTTGATATCATCGCAAGTTGCACTACACATAGGCGAACGCTCGTCCACCTATTGATTTTCAATCTGAGTGACGTGTCAAAGGAAATACATCGTTAAACAAGCATTATATAAGGACAATAATTTCAACCATCGTACTGGTTATTCGAAGCTAAGTCTCGCTTCTCCATTTCTACATTAAATCAAAATATGGCTGAACCTTTCTAATCTATTTAATATCGGAGAAATCTGATGTCATCGAGAGTTGATTACGGCCTGGATCAGTTAATTAATGTCTAATTAATAATTTAGAAAACATTTAAGGCCTAAACAAAGACCTGCAATAGGCAGATTTAGCTCTTGCATAATTGTATTATCAGAATCTGTAATAATGTATATATCACGTATATTTAATTGTATTATCAAAATCTGTAGTATGTTTCGCCGATTTCAAATATGTACAATATCTATATGTTTGACTTTTGTTATTATTATTACTATTCGTTCTTTGTCTGAAATTTTTCATTCTGGTATGTTTATTATTATTATTAACTTATATTTGATAATTTGATTCTCAATAAAACTCTTTAACCTATATATAAATACCTGCCAGGTCTTCATTAATATAATAATTGTAATTTGCTGTTAATAAATACGCATTTTGTATAATTTGGACTTCTCTCATTTAGGCTACCTTCTGACTAATTCCTAACCTTGTCTCTTGATGGGGAGCCTCTGCGTTTTGCTTACTTTAACCGATGAGAGTTACTACCATTGACGTCATATATATGACGTAAATGGTTACTACCCTTTACCAACTTCCTTTGCAGTTAACGATTTATGGGATTGGTCGATGAAAATAGGACAATCATCAAGGGCAGCTTGAAAACGTGCCTGCCCCCCCCCCCCAGAGCCCATAGATTAACACAGGAGTTAGTGGTGTAAAACGGAATGAGACAACTGGGGATACCGAGGATGGATCAACTCAGACATCTTGTCAAAACTACAACCATTGATAACTTCGATTAATATAAAGTACTTTGAATGAAATTCTCAATATATTCATATCGCATTATCTATTTTTGAAATATTATAGCGAGAACGGTCAGCTTTATATTCAAATCTTACATGATGTTCCTTTAAGCTTTTCAGAAATGTATAGTTTCGATTTCGTTTTAGCCGACCTCTGAGTCGACGTATAGAAACCAGATCTACATCCAGTAATGGGCTTTGCAACCTGTATGACGTGTCAATTGCAAAGAATATAATTATATCGTTAAGCTTTTCGGAACTGTATAGTTTCGATTTCGTTTTAGCCGATCTCTAAGTATAAGTAAAGCCCTGTGGTGTCATAAAGTAAATCCTTTTTTTAGCGCCCATCAGAGGACAACAACAGTCACACAGTTGTTCTAGGCACAGGTGATATCATGAATGATATCTTTAACACCTGTCAAACAAAATTAAGTTGATAGCATAAAGGATTCGAATTCTTACCAACGGCAACAAGAATGTCTAATGTTGGAACTGTCTATAGCAAGAAAAGGTAGTTTGATGGTGGGATTTAAAGTCTCTTCAACAGCATTGGGGTGGGGGGGGGGGGTGGCGACGTTTCTGCTCGTTCTGCATACCAACTTCCAAGATAATATTTAAGCTGAGCACACTATCGTCGCGCAGACGTGGCCTACCACCCCGTTTTTTGGCTCGTCTGATCCACTGGATATTCTTAGACAATGCTTTCCAGGGCAATCTGGGTTACGTCGCGTCGATGTCATACACAAAGCAAAGATAGATATTGATATCTACCTATTAATGACTCCTTTTAATCTACCTATTAATGACACCCTTTAGTAAAGGTAAATACTAATAATGGCTTTACGTATCGTAGCTAATAAATTACGGCGCAGTACGTTGATCCGGCTACTTAGCCCGGTTAGGGTTAGGGTTAGTAGTGGAAGTCAAAAGCAGCCGGGTCAACGTATATTAGGCCTAAATTACCTGCTTTACTAAACATCATGTACTGTTCAGCGCAGGAGAACTCCATACCATCCACCTCGAACCGACATTTGTGATGTTGACTAAATGGCGAATCTCTTCCATAAAATAATTCATATTGGTCGACCATTCTGCTTCTTCAAATCCTCCTTGTGCTTTAGAACCAATAACATAATGTTGTGAAATCCTACTTTCACTTTACGTACGATTGATAAAAGGCAGTTCGCAGAAAACGAACCAAATAAATATTTCCGCAATTCACAATATTCTACTTTTGCTTTCGCTTTCTTGAACTGAGAGACACACAGCTCTAAATTGACATGTCAGCATTCCATCACACATGGCCATGTACAGTACAGATATGTATTACAATAATGATTGGCATATTTCAGTGCTGTTCGTCGTCACAATCTCAAATATTAAAGCAGAATACACTAAAAAGACGTAATAGGTTTGTCCTTGACCGACACGACAAAAATAATAATAAAAGAGTTACCTCCCTTGAATCATTAAGATTAGCTTTTCGTTCGTGTATGGACTCGGACTAGCAATTATTTGCCCATTGACTTCAATGTTAAATGGCTGTAACATCACAGGCTGTAGCTTTTTGCTCAACATTCCGTTGGTTCCAATCTTTATAGGCACAATGGGGACCACATTTGGCAATCTCCTCATTATAATTTTGTAGGGGTTGACCGTTTAGATTTTTTGCTACGGGGATTTGAAGTTGACTGGGGTGAAAATCTCACTTCCGACACAATGCTTGCCTCTGTAATATCATCAGTATTACCCAAAACTGCTATGAAACTGCAAATTTGACCCCTTTTCTCCAATTCTAGACCAAAAAGTCAACCAAAAAATGCAGGAAGAGGGGAGAAAAAAATAAGGAAAAAGTTGTCTATTTATAACTCGCACTACTACTGAGTAGTGCAAAATAATTTAAACAGTAGGCCTATTTATTCAGATATTTATATACAATCATAAAGGGGATATCATAAATAACTGGATAAAGTAACACGCAACTTAACGCTTATATAAAACTGCTTCCAGGATAGGACTGATATGAATATCATAATTAAATAAAATAAAAATGACTAGGGTTTTAGTCAATGATGGTATGAATAAAATGTGTTAAACAAACAATAATATGAATAAATAAAACAAGGTTTGTGGTGCTCGGGGCCAACTCCTTGTATACCACAAGACGCAAGCTGAGGGCCCAATACGCAGAACTGTGAGAAAGAAAGACATTTTGAAAAACAACAAAAAAAAAAAAAACAACAAAAAAACAAATGAAAAAAACATTATTGAAATCAAGCAGAGCTGTCGCCCCCACCCCCACCCCATGTCCCTCTCTCTCTGCACACTACTGCCATATATCAAAGTACAATAATTAAATATATATTGGTTGTTGATTTATAGCGAAATGAAGAAAATAACAACAGTTTTAAAGAAAGCCCACGCATTAAACATTAAAAAAAACAACCTTAGATGTTTGGGGTTTTTTTTAGGAAGGGGGGGGGGGGCAAAAGGTCTGCTTTATAACTTTTAAAGCAGCAAAATATGAAGTCGGTCTGCTTCAGATTTACCATTGCATGGTTTATGTCGGCCTTCATTAGCCCAGTTAGTTGACGACTTTCAACCCCACTTTATTTCAATTCATTGGCAGTAAGTACTATATAACTGGCAGTTTACACATCATTAAATCCACCAGTTGAATAGACTTCGTTTTACATCGGTTGAACTTAACATTATAAATGCATCTTTTCTCGTCGACTACTGAACCGATTTACTTCATTTATAGCCGTAGTAAGCCACAAGCACAGATTGGGCACTGGAAATTATTATACTATTGTTAATTTCTCCTTTGAAATTTATTTGTAAGAAAAGTGAGAATTCGATCCCAACGTTCCACGAGATTTACCAACCTGGTTTCCCACAGTTGTTCAGGACGGAAAAACGTCTAGGCATTAGGGCTGAACACTTGACCAGGGCGTACATATCGATTTTATTTGGGGATTGTGGGGGGTGTTTAGGAAAAATGAGACCGATTGATGCACAGGCCCTAAGACGAGTGACGCAGCCACGAGCCGGGCACCGTAGGTGCGAGCTTTGTGTGTGTGTGTGTGGGGGGGGGGGGGGGGGGGTCCGGGAGCATGCTCCTCCTAAAAAAAATTTGAATCTTTGAAATGCCATTTCCTGGAATTTGGAGGAAGATTTTGCAGATAACACTTATAACATGAGTAGAATTGGGTACTACGCATGGGAATTCATGTTATTTATTAAGAAATTTGCAAGAAGCAATAAAGTACTGTTAATCTCTGAAAGTTCTAATAATTATCATTTACATGGACCTATATCTTCAGTGTTTTGTTGTGGTGAATATACACAAATTAGCAAAAATATGACTATGTCCTCATATTTTCATCAAGCGTACACTCTAAGTCAAGTTTGACCTTCGATCGGCGATTCTGTCAAGATCGACCGCGTATGTCATTGAGGCGTTCCTGTTTCATTACTGAACGCGTAACAGCTTTTACTAATTTGAGCTTGAAAAACTGGCGCGTATTGTGATATCGAATTAAAGTAATCATACTATACACAGATATATTCATATATATATATATATTAAGTATTTGGGATTTTCCCTTCTAGTTTAGCATTTTTTGTTTACCTCATTTATTCGTTTAGTCGCTGATGCATAATTTTGCGACCGACAGCACTTAGTTTTCGAACGACTATTTTTTTTCCGCCCCCCCCCCCCCGATTTACACCCTTGTATTTGATAGTTGGAATTTGATGAAAATAGAGGGAAACGCCACTGTCCGTGCCCCTAAAGTACGTTAGTGAGACATATCCTTCTTTATTACTCTGGTTGGTGTAGAAAATAAACCCCATTTCACGATGATGGGGATTTGCAATGGTATAAATACAATAGGCCATGATACTTAGGTTTCTGCATTATGCCCCTTTAATGCCGGTAGATAGCCTATATATGTGGTTTTACCTTTATACCTCATTATTTTATGATACTAAATCTAAAGTATCGCGTTTAATGTAATTGTATGCGTATATATGGCGGACATTTTTCCCGAAACAAAAGGGGAATAACTCTGGGATACTGAAGTCTAGAATATCTAACAAACTAACTTATAGCCTATATACAAAAATATGTTAGCTCCGAGAATTACCCAATTGATATATGGTATTATATGTTCTAGAATGAGAAAGCATTTACAGTTTATTGATATGGGGCGAATGTGACACATATTTTTTCATAAATAGTCCTATATCATAACTTTATGTGTTAATATAGGCTTTGAATTTAGATTCAAAAGCTGGACAAAAAGGTTCAAACTAAAGCCTGGGTAATAAAGTTTAAATTTCTAATTCCAATACAAATGAATTTACGCAGAAGCTTAACACTATTCGCCTACGCTAACCATTGCTTGTTAAACAATCATGGTTGTGACAAAATTAAGCCTGGTAATGACACTTTGACTGTCGTGTAAAAGAGGAAACATGTCGAAAGAGAAAAATTTGCACATCGTTAGTTTAGCAAGTAAAGAAACAGAAGGAGATAACCTTTGCAATTAGTGAGATAAAAGGACAGAAAAAGAATGAGGAGTATTTTGTGCCTTTCTATTTGTGTGACATAAATGAAAGCCAACATGATGAGTGTGTCAGATAGGATGGCATGGATCCAAGTGCAAGTCATTCTAAGAGTTGTTGACGAGTAAAGAACCTATAAGAAACAGATCAAAACCAACTCTTGGAACTGATGTGCGTCCTTTTGAATTTAAACACAAGAATCTTGAAAGGTCTCCAAATCACATGAGAAATTCCAATGCAAATTGTCAGTGCGACACGCAATGTATTAGACGAAGAAATTATCGGGCAGCTTTTTATGGGGTGATTTGAATTCACATCACGCGACATTCTATAAAACTTAGTTAAATATGAATAAATATATCGCAACGAAGACATCGGATGGTGGCTCACAAATAATGTTAAATGTATTGATCTCAAAGGGTTAGGATTTTCAGATATTAAGCATCAGGAAGAAACATCGCCCCCAGGTATTGTGGAAACCTAAAACATCGTTATCTCTTCAAGATCCTAGTTAAACCATTCTATGAGATAATTGGGTTGAAACTCGAGCAAACCAGGAATTCAAATGAAGGGCATCCAAAGACTTTTTATAACCACATCGAATTTTTTTAAGGTGATTCAAATATTGAAGGTGGCAATACGACACGAAGCAATTAAAATTATTTTAATTTTTTTTAAAATTCAGATCTTAAGGGCTAAAAGTATTATTTATATAGTAATTAACCGGATCAGAACAAATCATGTAGGATTTCAGTTACAGAAACAAGAACGTTTTCATAATAATCAATAGGGTTTAAAAACCTTGTCAACATTTGAAATATATATGGATGTAGCTATGAATGTATTAAATACAGTGGGGATGTTTCAAAAAAATGTTACAAGGTTACGCTTACTGTAAACATGCATTATGGTTTGAATTTAAAGATGCATTATGGTTTGAATTTAAAGATGCATTATGTAAGAATTAGATAGAGAACCTGTCGTTCTAGTTCAAAAAAAGATATTGAAAAATGAGTACATTGAAAATTTCAATCAAATTACTTTATTCTGTTTGAAGTTTTGACAAAATGTAGCATAAACTGTTTTTATAGTAGCAACGGTACTTGACAATCGAGACTATCTGGATTTTATTTAGTTTTTCGTTAAACTTTCAATTGGCTCTGGTGTTCTAATGTACTTAAAATCGGAGCCACCCGGCGTCCCATAAAGTTGATATGGGCTTGTCATGTAAACAATTGTTTAAGTAATAATTTATTTAACATATACCATTCAAAAAAAGTAGGGGATATTTGATTTTGGGGGCATAATACTAAAATATGCAAATGACTACGAAAAAAGTCACTATAGAACCTAACAGAAGAAACATTTCCAGTTACATGTGACGCCCAAACGCACCAATAGCTACCGCATGGAATGCAGGTGATGCTTGGGATCATCATGGGGGTCCAACCCAAGATTTGCACGACTCTGACTTTGAATGTTACAGTCATTGTGGCAATGAATTCCAGGGTGGAAACATCAGTTTAATTGTTTTAGTGACCAGAAAACAAATTTTGATATGCGTCGGCTTACCCAAAATGAAAGGTTACGTGCCCTTGGCATGCTACAGATCGGCACAACACAGGCGGTTGTGGCGCGGACGATGAATGTTTCTCAGTCTGTCATAAGCAGGCTATGGTCCAGATACCGTGATACACAATCTGTACAGGACAGACCACGCTCAGGTCGACCAAGGGCGACAACTCAAGCCCAGGATCGATTTATCCGTACCTTGGCCTTGAGAAATCGTGTCATCACAGCAAATCAGATCAGCGCTCGTCTTCAAACAGACACTGGTGTGAGAGTGAGTGG